GCCAAGGCTGGAGATATGAAGGTGTCGTAGTCTAAAAGATCAAAGCGGACGAAGGAAAGCAATCTTTTCCATCCTTTGAACGCTGTATAGGCGCTATCGTTCTTATAGCGAGGGGCCTCGTGACAGCCGTGTTGGCAGTGGAGGTCTATTATTTCCATCATTTGTGCATGGATGGACTGCGACAGGCTTCTGGTTGAGTGGTTGCACCAAGCATATATGTAAGCATGCAAGCCAATCTGTAGAAATACATTGCACAGCTCGCCATGGTCAGTTGACCTAATTCCGGTCGGAGTTGTTGACAGTCCGAGTACTTGACATGTGACATGTAAATCACTTGGCGCAGTAGCCGAGAAAGCCGCATTGGAGTCGGAAATGAGGTGCAATCTCCACACGCAGACAATCCTCAATGAACTGTGTGGTAGACAAACAAGTGGTGTACCCGAGTTTTGCGAGAAACTCGGGAGCACCGGGGGCGTCATGGAAAACCCTGGGAGCGCCGGGCAGGGTAGAGCAGCGTTGGTGTCGGCGATGTCGACGAAGAAGACAGTGGATGTCGTCGTTGAGTCTGATACAGACGCCGTCCTACAGAAGCTCTGTTTCAATTGAAACCCACAGGTCATCTCCCCGAAAGCATGGCGCTTTAAACGACAGGGTTAAGGAGAACGTCTCAGTGGGCAAGTTGAATCAGACCAAAGGTCTTTTGGTTGAAAAGATTCCTCCCAGGAAGTAGAACGATAGCCACGATCCCGAAGACCAGCAGCAGGGAGAGCAGCGACAGGAGAAGTGACAATTGAAAGACAATTTTTTCACCTTGCTTCTCCGTGTGACGAGCTATGAGATGTCAGTAATAGAAGCAGATGTCAGTGGCGCCGGAGAGGGGATTGCCGATGTCGCCCCTTATGCCGAAGCAGAAGATCGGTTGAGATACTCGGCCTGTTGATATGAGTTTGTTGAAGCTTGTTGATCTGGGGGCAGGGGGGCTTGAGAGCTTGAGGCGCCAAGCGCCGGAGATGTTGCTTCTCGGGAGCGCCGGAGGTGTTGGTAGCACTGCAAAGCTCGGCTGAGCACGGCTACTGTCAACGTAGATGGCGGACGAAACGGAAGACCCGTCCCGTTACGGGCGTCCCCGGAAGGGGTCTTTCTTTTGTTGTCGATAAAGGTGACGGCAAGAGTGTAGAAAGACCGCAGTCTCCGAGTTGTAAGCCATATCAGGGGGGCGATAAGCACGTTGAGTGAGGTGTGTCCTGGATACCCGTATCGAGCTGAAGGATCACAGCGACGAAGGACTGCAACATCAGCACTGCCTTGAGAAAATACAGGGCATCATACAATTACGGCCCCGACCAGATTTGTTCCCGTAGCAACAATTGCAGCGAGGCAGAAAATCTGGAATTTAAGCAAAACATAACTATGTGGAAAAAACCACAAAGTGCGTGAAGCATAATGTAACTCAAAACTTTGTATTTAATTGAAGTTTATGAGAGCAAACAATTACGCTCAAAGGTAGTGAAAAGGCATAGCTTTAAGCAAACACATAACCATGAAGCAAAATGGCGGGAACAACATTGCGCCCGTAAATAACTGTTACTTGAGCCACAAACGTGCGATAAAACATTACAAATTACGAATGGGTAAGACCCTAAGGTAACAGCCCATAACAGGTAACAATGTAGCAGCATACGATGAATGTAGAAACACGTAAAATATAGAAACAATAAGCTTTAATTTCAATAAGGGATACACAGTACGTCCGTCTGTGGAGGTGACAAAGCGGTTATGTGTTTTGGTGTGATGTCATGACTTCCGGGTCACGTGTCGACTGTGAGAGGGCGCTGCTGCTTCCTGGACTGGTTGGGACAACTTTTTTCAGCAGCTGGATCTCACACAGTTCGTCTCTCTGTCAAAAGACAGCAGTAAATGCAAAACGGAGTAATGCAGGATAAGTTAAAAAATTTAGAATGATGATGATGTGTTTCACCTAGGCGGCGATTGGCTTCTGCTCCGGTGCGTAGCGCTACCTCTGACATAGAGCTGGGATAATAAGTCTGGTGATAGGGAGTCATGAGTCAATGTCCAGCTAACACTGCCCAGCAATGAATGGGCAGTACCATGACGCGCAGTAGGCATATTGTAGACGTTAGGTGCCGGAGTAGGCGCTAACCCTTGTGCCATAGATGTAGCTGACCCAGGCATCTGGTACGTAAGCATAGGCATGGGCGCAGGATACAGGTGTGCCATAGACTGCTGCCACATGGACTGCATGAAGTTTTGCATCCAATTAGTGTTCTGGATGCGTGAGCGTACATGTGCTGTGCTAGATAAGTTGTTGGAACAGCACTAGGCTGATCATGCATTGCCTGCGTAACATTGTACGCTGTAAGCCCTGGGGCTGATGTCATTGTTGAGATGCTTGGGCAGTAGGCAGGCGCTGCGCTCAGCGCAGGTCCCTGAGATACAATGCTCATCGGTGCTGACTAGATCATGGCTCGAGACGCTGTCACAGGCATCGCAGTTGTCTCTGGCAGCTGAAATTAAAAGCAGTTACAATATTCACAATTGTTGTATTGTATATCTGCGGAGGGTCCACTTCTGCAGTCACAGTGATGGGAGCCATATTACCCACCAATGATAACGGCTGCGTGGTAATGACAAAAACATGCCCGTCACTATCTAGCGATTGTGTCATCTTCCTCGCCACACGACAGGATTGCTGCAAAATATGTTTGTGAGTAACGTACCTATATATTGTTAAACATGCTGGAGAGAGATTTACACAAAAATTACATTTAGAGTTTGGCGAGCAAATCTGCGTGCAGGCCACAGAACGTGGATGATGATCTTTGGAAGATTGTTTTCCACGTCAACAAGAGTTTGCCACTACCGTGGTTATATCCCCCGCCCCTGTTGCAGAATTTATAACATAATTAAATCTAAACAAACCCTAACCTTTTTTAACCGAGGTGGAACTTGTCATGGAAATTGTAAAAAAAAGATGAGTTTGGAACCTAAGTCCATCTTGTTGCCATGGAAACGTAAAAAAATAAAACTTTCTAAAATTTCTCAATAGCAAAAGGCACCAGTTCAGAATGTACCTGACAGACCTGCAAAGTTTGATGAAAAAATATTGAACGGTTTATGAGTTATGCTCCGGAACAAACCCTACCCTCACAGAACCTAAGTCCATCTTGTTGCCATGGAAACGTAAAAGATAAATATTTCTTAAATTTCTCAATAGCAAAAGGCAGAAGTTCAGCATGTACCTGACAGACCTGCAAAGTTTGATGAAAAAATATTGAACGGTTTATGAGTTATGCTCCGGAAACAAACCCTACCCTCACAGAACCTAAGTCCATCTTGTTGCCATTGAAACGTAAAAAAATTTTTTTTCTAAAATTTCTCAATAGCAAAAGGCACCAGTTCAGAATGTACCTGACAAACCTGCAAAGTTTGATGAACAAATATTGAACGGTTTATGAGTTATGCTCCAGAACAAACCCTACCCTCACAGAACCTAAGTCCATCTTGTTGCCATGGAAACGTAAAAAATAAAACTTTCTAAACTTTCTCAATAGCAAAAGGCACCAGTTCAGCATGTACCTGACAGACCTGCAAAGTTTGATGAAAAAATATTGAACGGTTTATGAGTTATGCTCCGAAAACGAACCCTACCCTCACAGAACTTAAGTCCATCTTGTTGCCATGGAAACGTAAAAAATAAAAAATTCTAAACTTTCTCAATAGCAAAAGGCACCAGTTCAGCATGTACCTGACAGACCTGAAAAGTTTGATGAAAAAAATATTGAACGGTTTATGAGTTATGCTCTGGAAACGAAACGTGACGGACGTACGGACGGAGCCCGTTTCTATATCCCCCGCCAACTTTGTTGGGCGGGGGATAATTAGTACAACGAGCAAGCATAAGTTACGCAAACAAAGAATTGTTGATGAAACATGATTGGAAGATTGCCATAGAATTAAACAATATTCTATCGGCAAATTTTTTACGAGTTGAAAGTGTATATATTGATATACGCAACTCAATGTAATGCCAAAGCTACTAGTATTTAAAAACGTATGAATATGTTATACAGACGTAGCTGTGAATTGTAAACAATCTGACTACCTTGGCAGGCAAACAATTGTAACACAAATTCAAAATGGTGGACAACAACAAGCATATGGCGGGAAAAAAGACAGAGTCTTTTTGCGCCTAAATAATCCAAATAAAACTACACAACATGGTGAGAGTAATATGAAAGGAATACATCACCCGTCGCAGATCAATTTTAGAATTGTAGACAAAAACTGAAGGTCTAAATTATTCCAATTTGAAGAGCTCCGCTGGTACACGTCCTTGCTGTAGTGCGACAGGCAGTGATGTGGAGAAGGTGACTTGTCATCAAGACATGGGGCGATTGTCCGTATAAAAGTGGGATTTGGAATCAACAACATCTTTATTTCTTTGTCCAAGACCATCACTGTTGCGCTGTTATCTTCTTGTCGTGAGGTAAGCAGTGAATGCATTAAGGAGTAATGCAGGATAAGTAAAAATTTAATGGATAAGTCAGATAGTGAAATAACAGGACTAACTTGTGTACTGAATTCCAGTATTTTACTCATCAAGGAATACATTTATATTTAAAGAAGGTCCTTTCCTAGGTTGATTGTACACAACTGTATTTGGTTATATACTAATTTGAACAATGAACCCCCCTCCCCTGACCAAAAAAGCAGCCCATCCGCACTATGTTTTCAAAAGCCATTGCATGAGAACCGATTCTTTAATTTTTTTAAGCCTAATAGGGTTAATATATGGAAAGTTAATGAATGAAACTTTAAACGTGGGACTCTCTGTCCTGTAACTTTAAACCATGTTCTGTGGATTGTTGTTTATGCTTATCACTGAAGGAGAACATCCCAAACTAGTACTGGTGAAATGTCTGCAATATCGGTACAAAACAGGCAGTGGCCTACATTTATGCGTATGAGCAGCTACATACACGGATTTTTGCTCTGATCTCTAGCCTTGGAAGTAGCCAAACCACACCATGTCGTGTGGTAGTCATCGAAAGAGAGTTTGGAGATGCGGGCTGGCACTGTGCTGACTCGGGTGGACCGCAGTCCCTCCTCTGTTTTGGCATCAATGTCCACTTTGCTTGGAGACTGAGGCAGGACTCCAGCTGCACAACAAACATATGAATGTCTGGAGTGAGTAGAACAACACATCTCAGTAAGGCAACCATGTAGGGAAATTGGACAATGTGAAAGTAAACATGGCTGGGAACATCACTGCCACTGACAGCGCTCAACATTTTACAAGCACCTCAATCATCCGCTGCCACTGACAATTACCACAAACATTTACAACAGTCTCCACAGCCACACATGACAATAGAAATCTGAATTTCTTTTAGAAATCAAGCTTTATTCAATAACCTATTGCAATGATTAAATCTTAACCCCATTGTAATGCTACATATAAAAATATCAGCTCTCTTACCCTTTAGGTTTCTGAGAAGAAAAAGTTATTAATACAAAAAAAAAATAACTAAAATTTTCATTTCCATGCCCAACTCCAAGTGACTTAATGGTTCTTCTACTCAAATAGTTCCACCTGTCTGGGCCTAGTGGTTGTAATGTAACTGTTACCTTCCATCCGCTGACTGGCTGCAACACAGTCCTGCACCATCTGCCGGTAGGAGCGGGGTGAGTGTTGCAGCATTTCCACAGCCTCAATATTCACTGCTCCAGTCAGACTTGGATTGGACAGGAGTGACTAAGGAGAGAATTTAAACATCATTGCATTGTAAATAATCACATGTTGCCTTCCATGTATTGAACATCCTGTCAAATGTAATGGATTTCTGACAAATTGTCCATTGACATATAAGGGTTGTATAACTTTTTATATATGAGGGTTGTAGATCTATTGACTTGTTTCGGCTTTATATCTATTGACATATAGGGGCTGTATATCTATTGGCATATAGGAGGCTGTATATCTATTGGCATATAGGACGCTGTATATCTATTGACATATAACGTCGACATCATTTAAATCTCCTAGATTACCTGTGAATGTAACTTCTTTCCGCTTGTATACATTATCTTGTAAGTGTAAAGCGTATAACTTGCCATCGATACCGGGTTTACCGAATCCTTCCATGTCTCCGAGATCGGAAAGCGCAATTGTATTACATTGTCTAAGGTTATGCGTTCCAGGGCCTAATGAATCAACCATTATTTATAATATGGAGTGTTACACTCAAGTATCCTATATGTACAGGGTGATGTTTAAAATCTAATACAGAAATTTTGAGATCTGAAATAATACCATGCTTTAATTTTTTATATTGTAATGATGAGAAAGATTCCGTTCTACTGCTATTGTATTTTTCATTTTTTGACTGGAATAGCTCTCAGCAGAGTTAAAGGACTTTCTAGTTGAATATTATCTGTTGTACTGATCTGATCAAGATGGATGCACAACTCTTTATAGGGAACTAAATCGGGTAATTTATCTCCATGCCCTGTTTTGTTGGGTATTATTTCTATTGCTATTCTTTCTTCTCCTATTACAAATCCAAGTGTTTCTGCTAAGCGCCGGACAAGAACTACTTGCTTTTCTCCAGCGCTTAAAATCAGCATCCCATTCGACTCATTTTGTGTGAGACTAACTCCCAAAGGCTTAAAAATTTCATCATTGAGGGAGCATACGCTGTAATACCCATCAGGTATAGTCTGCTCGTCTCCACGTATCCATATCTTATTATTATTTCTCGCAGCATTTATATTGGTCCACTGCGGGTAATACGTTATATAGGGTGACTTCAAGTTGTCCATCCGAGTTATCGATAGTATGAAGCAGTTGAATAGACTGATCATTTGTTATTCCCGGGAGTATGACATATTAAATATACAATGATACTATATCATAACTTAAATATGAAATCAACTTACATTACTAATCAGTCGATTTTAGTAAGTGCCTCTGGCGCTAAAATTTTGTTTTAAATTCCCTGATATCTTTGAAAAATATAGGGTCACGGCAACTAGCGATAAAATGGTGCATGATTGGTTTCAGAATCCAATGCAATTTTGGCAGAACCAGTTAAACTTTGCCATATGGTGTGCCACAACAGGATGTGGTGTATCTCTTTATGCCCCAGGATTTGAACTAAATAAGTCTGTTTTATCATTTCACGTGTACTATCAGATTAGACGTATTCTTAAAGAAATTAGTGCCCCATTACCGCAGGATCGAGCATGGAATTCCTCAAATAACCCGTACAATAGGTTCGCGTATTAACGTATTTGTATTTAATATTTCTACCAGTAAAGATTGGCGTCTGCGTGGAGTAACCCATGGTCTAGGTATTCCATACGCTGGTGCACACTCTGTTAAAGAAGTCAGCGATGATTTACTGAAAAGAGGTCGGCTTCTTCAGAGCTTTGCTCTCTCGAGTAACGAGTGGAGAGATGATCGTATGAACTTTAAGGGTGGTGTTGCTTTCACCGTCCAAAAGGTTGAGCAACCACCTGGAAATGCTTGGAATGAATTTCTTAATGATAAAACAGAAAATAATTTTACTAACCCAGGAGTTGTAAGAGTTAATGAATCAATAAGAACTTATGTATTGGCAATTCTTGGTGCACAATCGCAAACACGAACAGGAATAATTGGTTCTGGGATGGCGCTCGATGCACAAAAACAGTTTGTCGCAAACGTGGAGGATGCTATTAATTCACCAGTTAACATACCATCTTCTATAAAGCGTTAGATGTATTACAGTACGCTCAATCCAAAGTAGACCACGTTTATGCACCTGGACTATACATGTCTCCGAGTAATATGGAACTTAAGGTCGGTCAAGTGATCGGTTATAATAATAAAATTGTTATTGCTTCTGATCAGCAAAAACCAGGTATAAATTCAGATATTAACACCGAATTAATAACGCAAACAAACACAGGCGAAACGGGAATAGTCAAGCCACAGACACCACATGTTTCACAACCATCTACTGACGCACAACCACAAGTGGCACCACATATTGCAGCTAAAAATCAACAACATATCGACGAAAAAACAGCGCTTATAGTGGGTGGAGTCGCGGCTGGTTTACTCATGATTTGGATAAATAGTTCTTAACGGATACGTACAACAGCCCAGCAATTGCTATGATCAGTGTCCACAAGTTTTGACTAAGCCAAGTGGTGGTCTTAGCTAATAAATTCAAAAGCCAGGAAACAATACTCCCTATTATACCAGGAAGTGCAGACGCAGCTTTCCCAGCGAGCTTTCCCAGTGCTTCTCCTAATGCTTGTAAATGCTTTTTTATCCACTCTTTTACACCATTTTTATCACTAGGCGGTGTGCCACCTCCTGTACCGCCTGTACCAACGGTTAACGCGAGAGTCAAAGTCGATATAATAAATCCCGATGCGGTTAAAATACTGGCAATGGTTATTCCCTGTTCTCTGAACAATGTTTTAATTTTATCGGCCAGTGTAGTATCATTGTTGAGGACTTGATCGATAGTTTCTCGAATTCGACTGATTTGTGAATGAAGTGCCTTTCTATTACTGGAAGCAGCTTCGAGGCGGGCCGATCTTTCGTCTTCTAAGTTACACAATCTTTCAGCAACGCGGCGTCTACTGAATTCATCACCCGCCTGTTCCAAGTTTTGTTTTCTCATAAGCTATATGCTTGTCGAGTTCGGATAGCTTGGCTATATTATTTATGAGTTTTGCATTGTTTGCATTGCCTTGTCAAGGCCTCGTAATTCCAAAATACTGAACTCCGAGGATGGTACACTGGCCATGGAATTATCGTAGCAGGTATCCTAGATTTCTCCGAGTCCGTTCGAGGCCAGCTTCGAGCTTTCTTCCAAATTATCTATGTTACCGAGTTCAGCACGCACAGTCCGAAGAACCTTAGTAGTCTTCACAGAAAGTTTTTCTCTTGAGTAGTCTACAAAACCTAATTCATCACGTACAATGTTGATGCCATGTTTACTGGCTATCATAGACAAAGCTAGGGGCTTACGAGTACGAGAATTCATAAGATCAATATCCGGAGAACCACTCAGTCGCAATATTCCTTTACTATCTATCGTAAACTTTGAAAAGCCATGATCAATTGGGCTAACATATTTTTTATCATCTTTTAAGGCATTGTAATAATCATTAACGGTTGGTTTCAAAAGTTCATCATTAAGATACATGCCACCAAAGCTTGTTTCATCAGTACCCTCTTCGATTGTACTAGTATCAGTTATGTTATCAAGATTAATATCATCCATTTTTATATTAAACATAAGGTTACATAATTTCAATATAACAATGTCTTCGCAATACAGGCACAAGTTAAACCCACAACAAAAATTAGGGATCCATTAGGGGTCAAAGCAATTCGTCAGTCTGTAACTATAACTAATAACCCGAGTACCATCGATCAGAATCAAATGCTTCTGGTTCGCTTTCCTAATCTCGGCGCACACGATGTTAGTTCCGGGAACTGCTCGACTATCATTTACAATTAGTTTGAATTCTGCCAACGCTAGCAGAGAGCTCGTTCAGAACATAGGTCGTGCGGTTGTTAAAAAAATCGCGATTAAAATTAGCGGTAATGAAGTTTTGAGTATTGACGACAGCGATGTATATTTCTGTTACATGGATCTCTGGAGAACGGCTAAAGAACGGGAAAACTTACAGAACCAAGGTATTTGTAATCAGAACACATTGAGACTGCATGTAGGTGCTGATAGTGGTGATAATACCGTCGTAGAAGATAAGGCCGTTGCTGATGCATTAGGTAACCAATTCTATATTCCGCTAGACTTTGAATTACTAGATAGTCACATGCCCTTTTATCAAGCATCCCTAGGCAATAGGTTGGAATACGAACTCCCTTTTAATGACTCCAGCAGAGTAATCAAAGCTACTGAAGATCCTAGTAGCTATTCTATTGAAAATATCTCACTGGATATGATAACAGATTCTGAATTAGCCAGAAAAATTCGTAACCAGTATACCAGAAGTTTAGCCATTTTGTACGACCGCGTGCTTCGACATCGAAAGATCACCAGGACCAAAAGAGATACGATGTGGAATATCAATCTAAACGTTCCTGTTAGATCGTTGAAGGGTATTCTAATGTTGTTCGAGGACCCCTCTGAAGCATTTGCAAGAGATACCGAGGCGTTCTACAATCCCAAGATTACAAAAGTAGAATTGACTATCGAGGGCGTGCCTAATCAACTATATAGTCAAGGTATGCGAGCATATCAACAGTGGGATGAGATTAAAAAACTCCCTTCTATAAAATGAAGCCCAGAAGTTAACGCGGTCATGAAAGATCTGTCTCTCAGGGGTGCATCGATGGTTAAATTCCTTACCATGAAGTATGCGCTGTGGCTTGACATTGGAACAACGGACGATGACCAACTACACGGTAGTTGCTGGCGAGGGTGTTACTATACAGATAACAAAGCACCAGGAAGCGGCTGATAAATTAAACATATATTTGTACGTGATTATGGACGCGCAACTTAATATACAGAATGGACGATTCATGCAAGCAATCTATTAATAATCTTTTACCTAAAGAACAGCACTGCGCTATCATCTGCGGGCAAACGGGTTGCGGAAAAACAGCTTTTATTCTAGATATTTTACAAAGTCATTATTGGGATGTTTTCGATCATATTATTATTATTCTGTGTCCGACTATAAACGTTAATAAAACATACCTATCGAGAGATTGGGTAATGA